TAACGACATCATCACAACAGTTCAGCATTTTGATAAAAACATTATTTGTTTTCTTGCTGAGAGTTAAATGTTCACATTGATCCCACTCCCACGTCTGTACGGTAAATATGAAGCTACAGCTGGTTAGCTTAGCTTAGCATAAAGACTGGAAAGAGGGGGAAACAGTTAGCCTAGCTCCTTTAAAACACTTAAGATGTTGTTATCTTCGGACAGAGCCACATTACAGTTCTGTGTGGGGCTAAAACTGAGACCTGAACCCGGCCTGTAACCAAGTCTTACAGATCCGAGTTCTTCTTTACTATTTCCCAGTGTTTTTACTCCATGTGCCAATCTACATTAGCCAGCTGCTAGCAGTAGCTTCATGCTACAGCGTGCAGACATCAGATTGGGATCAGTCTTTTCATTAAGAAAGCAAATAAGTGCATTTCCCAAAATATCAGACTCTTCTTTTTCAGTGTCTGAGATTTTTTTAACCTGAGGACAGAGCGAGCTGCAGCTTGTGAAGCCTTCTGATTTCGGCTGGTATGAATAAAATATTCTGGACTTACCATAAAGAGAGTCTGCACCCAGCAGCGTCAGCAGCAGGCTTAAGGTCTCAGTGCGCTCCAGACGAACTGCTTGTTTAATGCAGTTTTGTTTCGATGCTGGACGGAGACGTGTGGACGCAGGCTTGTTACACAGAGTTCTGTTATCTTTGAAAATGTTGAACGTGTCATTTAACTTCATGTTCTCTTGATTCGTTTGGACTAATGAGTCATTTGTGATGTAAATTTAGTTTGGAAGAATGTGATTTTTATTCCTGGTGGTCTGTGGACACTGAGAACTCAGGACAAGTTCACTTCCTGCTCGTCACACACACTGTGTCTGAGTGTGTGTGTCTCTGTCATTGGGATGTAAATGCTGAAGGCAAGTGTTTCTGTAACTAACAGCAATGTGTGTGACCTGTCATGGCTGGACTGACTCACACACACACACACACACACACACACACACACACACGACAGTTTCCTGTTCAGTGAACCAGTCGACTGAACAGAACAAATCCCAACATACATGAGGGGAAGTCGGCCGACCAGAAACATGGAGGCGTATAAAGAGATCCAGTCTTTGTGGGTGTGGTAGAGGCTCGACCAATCAAAAGTCCAGGTCAGCAGCACAGAACTCATCTGAGTTTCTTTTTCCTCACTTGAACTGTTTCTGTATTTCACTGTAAATCTCAAAGAGTCTGAATCTCAGCAGCCAAAACTCAAACTTTATCAACAACTGAAAACTGAAAACTGAAAAAAATAAAAAGTGGAAGTAAAGGCCAATGACAGGCCTGATGTCTTAGAGTGCATCATTGAATCTCTTTAAATCTCCTTGAATCATCAGAAAACTTCTTGAATTACCTGAAAAAAATCCTCGACTCTCACAGAATCACCTGAGATATCCTTAAATCATGTGGAAAAATCCTTGAATCTTTCTGGATCACCTGAAAAATCCCTAAATCATGAATCTCTTTTAATCACCAGAAACATCCACAAAAACTATTAGATATCCTTAAATATATATAATTAAGTCTCTTTGAACAATCCAATATACTTCAGTCTCTTTTCACTGACTGAAACATCGTTGACAACCCTGGAATTATTCTTGAATCATATGAACAGAAAAATCCCTGATTGTCACTGAATCATCTGAAAAATCCTTGAAAGTCATTGAAATATTGTCAAATCTCCGGAATCTCCAACATCTACAACAGTCTTGACTCACTCTGAAAAACATCCTGGAATCTGTCAGAAATATCCTCAAAATCTGTATGAATCCACTAGAAACAACCTTGAATGTCCCAAAAACATCCTTAGATCGACCTTGAACATTACCAAATCTAACACCCTCTGCAACAGTCTTGAATCACTCTGAAAAACATCCTGGAATCTGCCTTAAATGTGTATGAATCCTCTAGTTACAACCTTGAATCTCCTGGAAACACCCTTGAATCTCCTGGAAACATCCTCTGATCTCCCTCGAACTCTTGAATCTCTTACATCTGAAAAACATGGAAGCTTCCTTAAATCAGTATGAATCCTCTGGAAACAACCTTGAATCTCCCTGAAACAACCTTGAATGTCCATTAATCATCCTGGAATCTGTCTAAAATATCTTAAAATCTTCCTTAAATCTGTACGAATCCATTAGAAACAACCTTGAATCTCCAGGAAACATCCTTGAATCTAGAGAGATGTCTGTAGTTGTCATGGACACGTCTCAGTGCACTTCTCTGCAAGATCCAGATCGGTCCTGACCAGACACACTGAGGGGTAAACCTCCCAGGACCTGCAGTGTGTGTGTGTGTGTGTGTGTGTGTGTGTGTGTGTGTGTGTGTGTGTGTGAAGGTGTCTTTAAAGTAATCTCGTCTCAGTGTGACGTCTGAAGGACGGAGGAGTCGCTCTGCTCTGAATAAAAACCTCACGTTCGACGTCTCTTCACATTAAAACATCTTTTCTCTGTAATTACTGCTCCTCTCTTTAAAGCAGGAGTGTGTGTGTTTGTGTGTGTGTGTGTGTGAGACGGGGTTTCATAATCAACACACACACAAATGCACCCAAGGCCTTAGGAGGCGGGAACTCACACACACACAAAGTAAACAACAAAAACACACAAACCACAGTGTCCTCATCATGTAATGAATTGTTGTTTACTCATCTGATTCCCTCGCTTTCTCACATGACCACACACACACACACACACACACACACACACACACACACACACACACACACTCTGTTGCTACAGCTTATTGACGACAGCTGTGACGTGTTTACAGGAAGTCAGATCAGGGACGTTCACAGCCGGCGTGTTCAGCCTCACACACTCTGGAGGCCATTTTTATTAATCAGGCTTAATGTGGACGGACTCTCAGACGTCTGTGTGCATGTGTGTGTGTGTGTGTGTGAGACACTAAAAGTCATGTGACCCTTTTAGAGTAAATGAAACACTGACACTGTGCTGGAGACCAGGGGGAGAAAACCAGTTTCCACTGAGTCACTGATGCATTTTCTTAAGCATCTGAATACTAAGACAGTCACATTGATTCAGTATTCAGGTATGTGTGTGTGTGTGTCTGTGTGTGTGTGTGTGTGTGTGTATGTGTGTGTGTGTCCAATAAGCATGGCCTGAAACTGTCAGAGCTCAGTTTTAACTCGACCAGAGTGACGAGCCATCGAAGACAGACAGCCTCCCACTGCATGATTGGCAGAGTGGCATTTGCCTGTAACTCTCTGTGTGTGTGTGTGTGTGTGTGTGTGTGTGTGTGTGTGGAGTTCCAGTGTGCCAGTGTATGATCGCAGCAGCCTAAGCCAGCGTATCGTCTCACCACGGTGACAGAGTGTTGTCTGGTTGTTATGCCGCGTGTGTGAATGTGTGTGTGTGTGTGGGAGTATATTTTCTAATGAGCTGTATTCAAATGAGTGTGTGTGTGTGTGTGTGTGTGTGTGTGTGTGTGTGTGTGTGTAAAACCCCAGAATTCATTGCATGGCTGACGGGAGTGACAGGCGAAGCCATTTAATGCCTCAACACTGGCACAGAATAACTGACAGGGTGGCATTTGGACACTGTGTGTGTATGTGTGTGTATGTGTGTGTGTGTGTGTGTATGTGTGTGTGTGTGTATGTGTGTGTGACATTTCTGCAGGAGTGTGTGGGATGATGTGAGGAGGGAGACCAGGCCTCAGTTGGACTGTGTGTGTCCATCGATTGGACTTTAGTGTAGGATTAGTGCGAGTGTTGGATGTCAGTGACCTCTGACCTCTGACTTCGTTCCCTCTGACTCACTTCCTGGTTCTCGTGGATCTGATCCAGGAGCAGCTCCTCTGGAGGAGGTTTGAGCCTCTGTCCAGATGTTGAACAGGTCCCTCTGTCCCTCTAAGACTCGTGTAATCTGTCCTCGTCCTGCAGTGAGGAAACATCCACCGACTGTCTGATGGAGCAGCAGCTGAAGTGTCACCATGACGACGATGACATGGGTTGTTTGTTTCTACACACACAGTCAAATAGGAGAGTTCATCTGATCCCAGATCAGTTCAACCACTGGTGATCAGTGTGGGAGAAGACAGTGAAACCTTCGTCTTGTTCTTAGCCCACGATTCATCCAGGTGTTTGTGTGCAGACAGTCTTCTTCTTCTTCTTCTTTTTCTTTCTTCCTCTTCTTTATTTCTTCTTCCTTTTACTTCTTCCCTTTTTTTCTTCTTCTTCTTTTTATGTCATTTTTCTAGTTTTTCGTTTTTCTTCTCCCTTCTTCTTTCTTCTTCTTCTGTGATCAGACTTGTGATGAGTCCAGCAGAAAATGTAAATGGACATGCTAACGCTAATGCTAACGCTAATGCTTCTGTACTTCTACCTGGGTCACATGATGACTGCAGGTAAGTTTCTACACTGTGATATTTATTAAAGTAAAGGAAGTGAACACTTGATCACCTGTCTGTCATTCAGGTGTCTGATCACAGGTTTCACACCTTTAAAGACCAAGTATAAAAAGTAATGAAAGACAAACATAAATCATGAAGGGGTGTGTGTGTGTGTGTGTGTGTGTGTGTGTGGGGTGGGGGTGGGGGCTTTGTCTCTGCAGGTCAGTTTGACAATTAAAAGTTAGGTTTATTTGAAACAGATAAATTTCCCAACAGAAAAGTGAAGGAGACGTCAGAGAGTCATGAATTTATGGATTTAACTCCATGACTTTTAGTGGCTGTGAAAGTGAAGATTGATCTGCTGAAGACGAATAATAAAGAGAATCAGGAGCTAATCAAACGTTTTATGGTCAGAGACTGATACAGGACCAGGACCAGGACCTGGACCAGGACCTGGACCAGGACCAGGACCTGGACCTTGTGGGAGATTAGAAGATTATACCTTCACCTGTTCTGTTTCCATGGACGTCACCTGCAGTCGTTCATGTGACGTCAGTGGAAACAAACACCTTGTTTGTTTTTGTTTTGGAGGTAAATAAAAACACAGGGAAGGAAATCATGTGACCAAACAGCTTTAATGTTTTTATCTGAAAAACTAAATCACTCAGCTTCAGTTTCAAAGCGACAGACATCTTTATAAAATAACAGTTAACCCTATGATTGTGTGTGTGTTGTGTGTTTTTGTGAGCTTGACAACCACACACACCCCGAGTTCTTCTTCATGTTCACTTGATCATTAACAAACTTCAGGCTGAAACACAAAGTTCAGACTCTGACCAACTAAACATCAAGTGAAACAAGCGTCTCTAACGACAAGGTGAATTTACTGAGTCTGACTTCCTGGTTTGTTTTTCTGAATTCACTGATTTACACAATGAAACTTCAAAATAAAAGTTCAGTTTCTTTAAACTCAGAGTGAGCGTCATGTGAGACGTTTACTGTCACTGTGATGTCATCAGACGAGGGTTCGTTTGGGGAAACTCTCTGAAGGTTTGGTGACAGTATCTTTAATTTATTTTGGTTTCCACGGTTACTGCAGTCGACTCGTCAAGGTAAAGAGAAATCTTTACGGTTTGGTGACGCCAGAACGATACGCCCTGAACTTGAACTTTGTTGTTTACATCTACAGTTTATTACAACTTGAGTTTCCTTTTGTCGTCTTTTCTAACCGTTCTTCCAGATGTTTGACTTCGCTGGTGATTCTGTCCGTTCCTCAGACTCGCCGTCAGCAGAGGCTCCGGTCGACTCGACTCTATATTTACTCTGTTTAGCTGCTGAAACAAAGACAGTGACGCCGCTCTGATCACAGAACAGCCGCTGAGGTCTGCCGTCACAGAATCTAAAACCGCTGTCAGCATCGACACATCGCGGCGGTTTGAAGCGTCACACAAACCGCCGGCGGGATGTGACGGGCACCTCGACGCACACGAGGATGTTTTTGGAAATTAAAGATGACAGGAGTCAAATTTGGACGTTTCAGCCTGAAGAGGAGAGAACACAGTGTCTGTGTGTGTGCGCGTGTGTGTGCGTGCGTGCGTGTGTGCGAGTGTGTGTGTGAGCCGCCGGCAGCAGCATCAAAGGCTGAGTGTGACGTCTGTATTAAAGTCAACACGTTTCCCCCTGCGGCGAAATATCACAGCTCCGAGGACGTGACGAAGCTGCCTAACAGCTCTGTGTGTGTGTGTGTGTGTGTGTGTGTGTGTGTGTGTGTGTGTGTGTGTCTCAGTATCTGCCCTGCACGCCAAGCTCGCTCTCGGCGGAGCGTTCAATTTGCTCATGGACGAGTCGGACCTCCTGCTGGGTCAGAGTTCGCTCCATGTGGCGGTAGATGATGCGGTAACACTGGCTCCGCCTACCGGTCCTGAGAGAGAGAGAGGGAGAGAGAGAGGCTGTTAGTGAGCTTCTCAGGTGAGACTCACTGTCACTCAGGAATGATTGATTATTGATCATATCTACAGTGAAATTAGACAAACCACAGAGACAGACGGTCATGACAGTAAACACCTCATGACCTTATGTCACGCCCCCTCGCTCCTCAGGTGACCCGGAGGAGGGAGGAGGCCGTCCTTCTCAGAAGTCTGTTATCAGAGAGACACACCCCTTAAGTGGAAAGCAGTTAGTGATTGGACGCTGCAGCTGATTGGTTCATTACATCATGAATTTAGATGTAAAGTTTGTGTGTCTGAGCTGTGACTCTACAGACTGATGAGCAGATGTTTGTCTCTGTCCCCAGCTGTGACCCAACAGGTGAGACTGATCCAGCTGTGACCCAGCTGTGACCCAGCTGTGCTGTCGTCATCACAAACTCGGAGGAAAGGTCGTCAACACGTTTCCTCGACTCCTCCCTCCTCAAATCGTTTCCCCGTCTCACAAACCTCCTCTTCTCCTGTTCTCTCCTTGCTCTTCTTTCCCTCGCTCCTCCACAACTTCCCTTTTACCGTCCTCCTTCCTTTCCTCTCCTTCCTGCCCCGTTCCTCCTCCTTTCATTCTCCCCCTCCTCTTTTCCTTCCACATCTCTTTTCTCAAATCTTCCTCTCCTTTAATTCTCCTCTTCACCTCTTTATCCAATTCCCCCTGCCTTCCTTATCTTCCCCCTCCTTTCCTCCCATCATCTTCCTGTCTCCCCCTTCTTCTCCTCCTCTCCTCCTCTTCTCTTCCCTTCATCCCTCCAACATCCTCTCCTCCTCTTTTCCCAGTAACAGAACAATAAAACACAGCTGACTAAAAACAACACAACCTCTCTCTCTCTTTCTCCCTCTCTCTCTCTCTGTCTCTCCCTCTCTCTCGCTGTCTCTCTCTCCCTGTCTCTCTCTGTCTCCCTCTCTCTCTCTCTCTCTCGCTGTCTCTCTCTCCCTGTCTCTCTCTCTCTCCCTCTCTCTGTCTCTCTCTCTCCCTATCTCTCTCTCCCTCTCTCTCTCTCTCCCTCTCTCTCTCTCTCCCTCTCCTCTTTCTCTACCCCTCATCTCTCTGTCTCTCTCTCTCCCTCTCTCTCTCTCTCTCTCTCCCCCTCTCTCTCTCCCAGCAGCTCGTGAATAATTGAACATCAGTACATTTGGTGGAAATGTCAGAGAGAGAGAGAGTCGGGCTTTAAACCTGATAGAGAGAACGAATGAAGAGACACAAACACAATTACACATCATATTTGTGTACACACACACACACACACACACACACACACACACACACACACACACACACACACACACACACACACTCAGACTGAATGGTATTTCATGTGATAGACTGTGTCGTTGTTGAATAATTGATGTCTCCATTATCCAGCCCACATAGCTGGAGGGGGGGGGGCGTTCGATACAGTGACACCTGTAACACACACAGACACACACACACACACACACACACACACACACACACACACACACACAGATGATATTTTGGACAGATATAATTAAAGGATAACTGGTCTTTAAGTTTTAGAACTACAGCTCCCATGATGCTTTGGGTGAGGGTGGGGTAAATACACTCACACACACACTGACAAACCAAACACAATAACACACTGTTGATCCTCCACCAGCTCCGACCGTCTGACACCTGGTCTCTGTGGGATCCGGACCTCGCCCCAACAGCAGGTCCTTCAAGTCCTGATCAGACTTTGGTGGTCAAAGGTCAAAGGTCAAGGTCATATTGACCTCACAAATCCTGAATGCAATATCTCCGTAACACCTTGAGGGAACTTCTTCAAATTTGGCACAAACATTCACCTGGAGTCAAGGATGAACCGATTATAGTTTGGTGGCTGAAGGTCAAAGGTCAAAGGTCATGGTTACCTCACAAAAACACCTTAGCTGTTAAATGGTTCATATTTTCTCTGACTGATAAACAGGGATGTGACCTGGAACTAGAGGGGGGCTTCCTTCCTTCCTCCCTTCATCTCCTCTCCTTCCTTACTCCCTTCATTCTCTCCTTGTTTCCTACTTTCATCTCCTCTCCTCCCTCCTCGGGGGTTTACAGTATCAGTTCTCCTGGTTTTTCCCTCCTCATGTGAAGGCAGCGCGATGCTTTCAAGGGCGCTGGCAACTCCTGGAGTTTCCTCTCAGCTTCACCTCCCTCTCTCTTTCTCCCTCTCTCTCCCTCCCTCCCTCCCTCCCTCCTTCACACACTTTCCCTCTCTGTCTGAATGAAACCCAACACTCCTCTTTCAAGCGTGTCCATCATCCTCCACTTATCTCCCTCCCTCTCTCTCTGTTTCTCAATCACTTCCACTGTCCCCCCTCCCCCCTCCTCCCCCTCCTCACCCCCCTCCCTCTCTGAATGAAACATTACACTCCTCTTTGAATCTAAACCCCTCCATCCCTTTATCTCTCCGTCTCTTCCTCCATCCCACCATCTGCTGAAGTCTGACATCAAATCGATTGTTTTTTTGTTTTTTTTGGGCTGTGAAGCTGTCGGCCATGTTTTCTGTCCTCCTCTGACCCCGACGAAGCTTCCTGCTTTGTCTCTTCTCGTTACTGTTGATGTGAACCAGCGTTTCCTGCTCAGGCTCGACAACAAACAACAGACAAACAACAGACAAACAACAGACACTGCAGGAAGATGGCTGCTTCAGGTTCAGAGCTGCTGTCTGTTGCTTGTTCTCAAATGTTAAATTTAGTCTAAACACCAGCAGCTGCACAACATCTGTGCCAGAAGAGAAGAGTCGAAAACTGATTTTGGATTAAATCAGAAACTTCCTGATCAAAAAAACAAGATAATTAATCTGATGTCAACCTGATCTGAGTTTTTATATTTCAATAAGCAACAAGTAGAATCTGTAAAAACACTGAATGGAGATTTTACGGGCTCATATCATGTCTTTTTATTATTCTTTTAAACAAGAACTAATTTTATATTTTCATGTTCCTGCTTAACTAAACTGTTTTAATTTTAATGTAATTTGCATTTAAACCAGGTGCAGTAAGATCAGAATATGTTTCACAAGGAGGAAAATGGAAATAAAAACCTCCTGATTAAACATCTGAATTAATCTAAGTAACTTTATTCTTAAAAAGAACTTTTCAATCAAATTATTTGTACTTTTTATTCATTTAACACTCAAAATAATAAAAAATAACCTTGGGGCATGACTTAGGGCGGTGACTGCTTTGTTGTGACATCACAAAGTTCCAGAAGTCCTGACGGCTGGTTTTAAGGCTCAGTTTCTGAATACAGGCTGTGTGCATTTCTCTGTGGACTGAGGCTTTGATACTTTCACAGTATTAATATAGAAGCTAGAGCTGATCTATAATCACACTACACATGGACACAGACCTTTACACTGGAGGAGCTTTAACTTTTGTTTGTTTGTTGTTACAGAGTTTGTGAGCGGCAAATTCATTTAAGCATCTTCATCAGGTCGAACTGTTTCATAGTGAAGCACAGCTGAGATCTTCACATCCACTGTTTGTCTTTGTGGTTTGAGCTCATGATAAAGTGGCTCATTGTGAGGCTGCTGCTCTTCATCATTTTCCTTATCAGGCCTTGGACTCTGGAGAAAGTTTGTGGTTCGGAGGACGTTTGATTTCATCTGGGTTTATTCACATTTTCAATTTGTACAAAAGTTTTTGCACAAAATCTTTGTATAAAAAACGGAACTGGAAGAAGCAATTTCGATCGATCAAAACAAAAAAAAAAATCATTCAAACAGTTTTCCCATCTACACGTGATGTCCCTGAACACACCATCATGGAGGTTTTCACACCCCCATTACTAACTTCCAGTTCACAAATAAAACAAAAGAGCAGAGAACAGTTCACCGGAGCTTTTTACTTCTTCTTCTTCTCTGTTTAATTCAAGCTCATGTGGAACTTTTTCTTTTGGATCAGTGGGTTAACGTGTGACAATGTTTGTTGTGTTCAGTCCAATCAGAGCGTGTGAATGTGAATCAGTCAAATGATCCAATTCAGTAATTCAAACAGAAACCTGCAGAACTCTCTCTCACACACACACAACAACCACCACAATAACACACACACCCACAACACACACACAACACACACACACACCACACACACACACAAATAGTGCCACACACACAGTGTTGGCTATAGTTAAATGTGTGTAAAGCAGAGCAGAAAATAAGTTGTCAGGCTGATCTGTTTCAGGTTTGTTTTAATTGGTGCAGTGAACTATTCATAGAATTTTAATTGGTTCAGATGAAAATCCCCCACACTCTATTTTCACTTCTTACACACACCCACACACACACCCTCTCTGTTTCCTTTAAAACGTAAAAGCCCTCCCTCTGCTGATGATGATGCGTTCAGTGTCGAACATGTAAAACCCCAGACTTCCACCTCAGAGTTAATTGTGTTATCCGCCTCGTAAACACGACATTCACACCGACGCGGTTCACGAGGCTCGACGAGCTCCGAGTCGCTGTTTTACAAAACACAAGAGATGTTTCTGCAGACGGTAACATCTCTAACTTCTTTAATTAACTTCCTGTTGTTGCCATGACACGGTGGAGTTGTGTCTGTGACATCATCAGAGCCGCAGCGAACGACTGCTTCACCGAGGAATGTCCGACAATATTAAAACAGAAAAGCTGGAACTAGAGAATATTTGGCATTTTATTTTGAAAAATCTAACAAATTTTCTGATAATCCACAATTCAGTTAATTAATCAATTAATTAATTGTTGTATTTCTGAACTACATCAGCAGAACAACATCCACGTTTGTCCAGAAATAAAATATGAACCATTCATGTCAGTTTCTGTGTGAAGTCTTGAGTTATGGCTAAAAAGTGTTTTGTGAGGTCACACTGACCTTTGACCTTTGACCTTAAGCCACCAAAATCTAATCAGTTTAGCATCAGACCTCTGACATCCATTTCAACACATGAACTTTACACCTTTTC